ATATTGATCCTGAAAGAAAGACGAACATTGCCATTCCCTATCTTATCGACGGCGGTAATTTAACATAACATAACTTTTATTCGACATTAATATTGTAACAACAAAATTATAGTCGATTTACATCAAATAGTGCAAAAGACACGTGATTTCCTAACCTAGAAATATATATATGTTTACAAAGAAGTTCATTACATGACGAATGCCAATCATATTAGAATAAAATTATATGACGATAACATAATCATTGTAATGCATTGTCGGGGCAAGAACTCTGCAAGAGTGAAAAGGTTATTTTTGTGAGAGTTGTTTCCCTTCCCTTGCAAAAATTCTTATCCCGCTTACATAGTCAAAACATGTGCCAAACTAGTACCGCAAAATATTGTGATTTGCAGCAATAAACATTATTTTACGTATTACTTTATATACTTGAAGCCATTCAGATCTTATTGATACAATTCATATGATTCATTCTGGAGCATATTATCTTGACGAAAACAGTTCGAAAGTCAATGTATTTTAAGATATGAAACTTTAACACTATTTCTCGAAATAATCGACCAATTTATTTCAGCCTTTCGAAGATTTCAAAACTTAAGACTGTCAATATAGGTCTATGGTGATTCACCATGTTACTATATGTTATCTGCTTCTTGCTAATATTACGACTAGTTTTACACATGTTTCACTAAGATTAAATCACATACAAAAACAATGTGCATGTTTAAATAGTAAAAAAATGTTATAAGGCATGTAACATACATTTACAATGTACAACATAATACAAATTATACAAAGCATGTTAGTTTAATATAAAAGTTTAAATAATACATTAAATGTTCTAAAGACGGTCTTTAAATGCACAGAATAAAAAACGTGCGATACTGTTGAGTGTTTTCGTGTTTTTACCTATCATGAGATTTTCGAATTTTTGTAGTGTTGGCCACCTGCAGTAATATGGTTTTAATCTGTTTTACGTAGGTCATAGAATTTCAGGCATACTAACATGAGATTTGACTTGATTCATGGAACAATTTTGACATTTTCTTTCTTCCCTAAGAGTATTATTATGCCTTCCAGTCTCTATCGCTAAATTAATCAAGATACATGTATTTGCAGTGCGCAAGTCAAGTGGGGAAAGTTGCTGAAATGATTTACACCCAAATGAAATACACATGTCACCTTCATTAAAAAACAACATTTACCGTGTAACATGTTTTGTTGAAGACTGAATTAAGGAAAAGTATTCCCCCCCTTCGCAACTTCCCTACTTGATATGCACCGTTTGTCATATATAATAATTAAGAGCCTTTTAGAAAGTAAGGATAGTATTCCCGACCGTTTAGAATATGAAAAGAAATATTACATGTATAAGGCAATAGAAATTTTATAAGGAATTTCTACCCTTAAATCCCTTATGCGTAGATTACATTTACAAAACAAAAAAACACACTGAACGAAATATAATAAACAATACAGTATTATGAATAAAATCGAAACAATAATGATTATAAATCAAAACAAATTGAAAATATTTGACAATTTCTCTTCAATTACACAACCAGAAAAACGTTTCGAAAATTTAATAAAATTACAATAATCAGGATGAGAGTAAATGTGGTTCTATGGTCACAATTTTCTATAATAACAAATAAACAAAAATGTTAATTTTCACGTTTTAAATTATGACATTCTCTCCTTACAGTTTGTTGGGTCAAATATTAGAACAGTATCTCACAATAACACATTAAACAATTAATGCAAAAATGATGTATTTATATACAAATGTACATGTATCAAATAAACGACTAAGTAAATGTATTAAATGTTACAGTATTTCTGGAATGAGCAAGAAGTCCCCAAATTAATTGGACCTGTTGCAAATTTAATGTATATATTGCTCTAAAACTTATTCTCATAAATCAAATCATATACTTATATCACATTAACTACAAAAAAGGTCAATATATATGAATAAATAAGAACATTTAAAAGCCTTAACAAACCATAAATGTTCCAAATGTTTAAAACTATGAAAGTAATATATTAAAAGAAGATAAACCTTTATTTATCTAAGACAACAGGTGATGGTTGCGAAGTTCTGTGATGGAACAGAAATAAAGAGTATTTTGTTCTAAAAAAATTCAAATTTCCAGGTTTTTAATGTTGTACAAATAATGCATTTATGATTTAAACTGAAATTTTCTAAAGAATGCATGTTAATGTTTCGTCCTTCAAGTTAACATTTAAGTTACATGATAAAAAACAGCAATTACTTGTACTAAAAAATTAACATTCATATGCAAATCACGAATATTAACACACATTAACAATTTATTAGAAATAAAAAGCAAGGCTTGTTCTATTGTAAGAAAAAAAATTAATTGTTCTATAACAAAAAATATAAATTGTGGTATGACAACACCCCTTCAGTTATCATTACAAAACATAACAGAACATATACTATAAAAATAACACATGTCTCTGAGGGTTAATAGTGCATTAATTAGTACAATAGTCCGCCTAAGGTGTTTTTTCTTCAGTTCCTGGGTTACCAATATGCACTATTACACTAAGAGTCATGTGTTATATTTTTCATTATACCGATTCAACAATTTGATTCAGTAAAACAGTTCAATATAGTAAAAAGTTTAAGTGAGCAACTGAGCCAAGGGAGAGAAAAAGAACATTATGTTTTCTTAAATCTCCCTTGGGAATATTACAAAAAATATTGACAGGGTGATATTCATTTTCAGGATGATAGTTCGAAATAACACCATGTGATGTCACATTAGGCTAAACAGTAAAAAGTTTACGTGATGTTTAATAAACTATCATATTAACATGCAACATAATTCAATATTCGACGCCAATTTTCTTGTCCTGTCTATAACATATGATTAAATAAATTCAACTACATGAATATTGCTTGATTCCATAGAACAGAGCAGATTAATTTGCAATTGTAGATAAAACCATTCCTCTACATCTAAACATGTAACATAATTGAACAAAATCATAAAAGTTTTTAATGTTTACATTCACGATTGTCATTATATTTATTAGTAAAAATTATATACATGTATACAATTAAAGAATGAGAAAACATTTATTACAAGTAAAAGTTCAAAGTTGTCGATGCGATGTTTTAATGCACGAAAGAAGATCGTAGTCAATAATTTTTATACATAGTCGTTGTACGACTTTAACCCTTTTTAATGAATATTTACAGTGAAAATATTGTAACTCCTTAAACACATGTTTACAAATACAAGTAAAGTGATATCAATTGTAATGAACAAGTGATATTTCATCTCAGTTTGTTTGCATCCCATTTTGTATTCTTAGTAGATACCAGGTAGGACGCAACAACAACATCTTTTCTTATAGAAATAATACAAGAAAACAATTCAAGTATTAAACTTGTGGATGATTACAATAATACTTTCCTGTGAGTAACCAATAATTAATCTATTATACGTACATATCGAAATTCAACCAAACATCCAATGACTTTCATACTATAATGTTTAATTATGTATTATAATTATAATGAAATTCTAAGGTAATGGTTTTAAGAGCAGATATTTCTGTTAATATTGATAGATCTAACCAAACAAACAAGCATAAATAAAATATCTGCTGCATTCAGATTGAAAAGAGATGACAATATTTATTATACAATATCATAACTTAGCATTATACATATCATACTTGCTTACATATTATCATGAGACACACATCCATGAGGCACCCTAAATAACATCTAAAAATTAATTTAAAACAGTATTTGCATACATAAAATCTATCAATAAAATTCACCAAATAAGTAAAAAAAGTCTCTAACATAAAAGAAAACATTTGGTATTAACACATTTAACTAACCATCGTATGAAAGTTAAACATCTTTGTCCACCACTTTACACGTGCTTACGAAAGCTTTGGATATGAAATTTTGTTTTGACAATCCGGTAATATGTCGGTTAAATTATTCATATTTTTATAAATGAAATTATAAAGAAATTTGATATAACAACTGCCGACCAACTTTGAATTGATTCTCTAATTATGGAAATGAGCCATAAATAAGTTTTTTTCTAGGGAGGTATATCAAAAGTGCTCATTTCCAGTTACAATTTAAAAATATATATAAAGATGCCTTTAAGAAATACACGATCATGTCATTTTCCTATCAACAAAAGACAAGAAAAGAATAGAAAAACAAAAAACCAATAAAAATATATTTCACATGATGTCTAATGATTCTACGTAACGAAAATATGTAATTATACATGATTATACATGCTTCATAATATTCAGGATCATGTCAATGTTTTATTTCTGATTTTTTTTGAAAACGAATAATTTATAACCAAATGAATATGACTATACATATATCATTTAAAGTAGTTAAAGCTTTTCTTAAGATTTGGAAATAAAAAATGTACTACGAAAACAAATTGGCGTTATATTGTATATGTTTTACAGGTTTAATAAATGAAATACATCCAACCTTCTGTTTCATTTTTATAAAACAAAAAGATGGTTTTCGTTTAGAATAAAAAAACAAAAAACAATTTCATATGAAAAACCAAGAGTTCGTTTAACAAGTTTTGCTTTGTCGCGTACATTTTCTTTTAGTTATATGCGTAATTGTTTCTGATACTTTAATTGTAAAGTGAAATGTACAATTTTAAAAAATACTTTTTTTCTTGTACAACAAAATAAAAAAAAAATCATAAATTAAAAGCAAATAAAAGAATTATTATATAATATAGTTATACATATATATGTTTTTCCATGTGTATATGTATAACTATAATACTTTTTTATAATCTAATCCCTATCTACAAACAACATGACCAAGAGATTAAATAAAAAAAAACATAAAAAACAAATATAAGCACCAATCAAGCGAAATCACGTTTGCATCATTTGTACAGGTTATTTTTTTCTTCAACTGAACACTCAAATTAGATCAGTTTTTGATTCAAAGTTTTAACATGATATTTAAGTATTTTTCGTTTTCGTTCATTTCAAGTTACTCACTGCCTACTGGTAAAAGAACAAAAAAGAATTTGGTTCCTATAACACATAATAAACAGCTTTTCGTTTATCGAACAGACTAACATGAAGGCAAATTAGAATCTATAAGTATTTTCTAACTACAATTTGCAGTAGATTTGATAACATTATCATATTTTTCCACACTCAGAATTCAGATTCATTCGAAACTCAAGCCTTGTCATTACACTCTATAGAATATCTAATATATAGTTTTACATCTTTACAACATCGGATAAGAGATTATTTGCAATAATAACATACTGTTTGATATTGTATTTATCTGAGCTAGGCAATTACATTTACTTCAAAAAAGATATTATTCTTTACGTTTTGACTTTTGTGATTAACTTTTATTTTGTATATGCTAGTTTACTTGTTTAAACATATTTGTAAAACATTATTACAATGCGTATACTTATATACTTTATATCTATTTTAGACCAAACTGGTGTGACAATACAAAAATAAGCCCAGTCTTTATATACATAGATTTCAGAAACAGTACCAAAAGCATCAACTCTTATTTGACTTGCAATTTGCTAATTGTTTAACGATGTTAGGTAGATGTTCATTGCGATGATATTTCCTTTTCCATCGTTACTATCAAACTCTCCCTGGCATTCTGGACAAACGGCCGTCGACAATGATCCGTGAAACTCGCTGATCTTTGATGTTATTTTACATAAAGGACACGAGTAAATACCATTCTTTATTCCTTTCAGAGAGCTTACCAGTTTACTTGCAATATCTAATCCATGTTGACGATATTGCTGCTTTTCCGGTTCCGATAAATCGTTTTCTTTCCAGAAAACATCAATGAATTCTAGACCAACAACATCGGCATTCTTAACTCTAAAGAAACCACCGTCCCCCCATTCTACTCCTTTGGAATTCATGAGACATAAGCTATCGCTATTGTAACTAGTCAACACAACCGCGTGACTTATTTTTCTGGCAGAAATTCTTGAATATATATGTATATCTTCCTCTGACAGAATTTTCTTTGGTTCACGATTGAAAATGTTATTGAACTCGATCCACTCATAATCAGTGAGTTCAAATCGTGCTATAACTGGACGTCTTTCAGATACTGCCTTCAATGCTTCTTTTCTGTCAATCGCTTTACAGTGAAGTCGATATTTCGGACAAAATGTTTGGAGAACGTCCATTGTATCAGCTCCTTGTTCGCCAAATTTATCAATTATTTCCCTTCTAAGGCTTTCGAATGTTGGATATCCGTCCTCTCTCTTATGTATCCTTACCAAAGCAAGATGCATAACAGTTGCTGCAGCATTCGCATAGCAAGTCTTTCCTTCTTGTTTAGGTGGTTTAAATTTGTCATTCTCACTTTTGATATACCTTTCAATCGAGACATGTGTTATCAAATCAAGCAGACTGTCTTGTGAACTCATGGCCTTTTTCACAACTTCAACTGCACTCCGCATATTTTCTGGGTTATTGATATGCAAAAATAGCTTTGTTTCTTTTTTGTTGATGTCTACATCCCAACCGTTGTTTATGAAGATTGCCCGAGGAACATTGTCAGTAGGGACCATCGAACTTAAATCAAAGAGGAAACGAGCACCTTCTTCCCAGTCGGATCCGACAGTGCCATATAGCTGCTTTGGTTTGATTGAACATCCTGTTGATGTAGACATGTAACAACCAATCACAGAGATACTTCTTTTTTCAAATTTTGATTTCAACTTATAAATATCGCCATAATCGCTAGGCGCTCCATCTGAAAAAACGAACAAGTATTTGTATTTGTCAACCTCTTCAGAGTCTGGAAATAAATCAAATAAATCAACCGCATTGTGTAAAGCAGAATATAATGGTGTGCTGCCGTATATATATGGCTTCATTTTTCTGTGTAATTTCTCTGCTCTTTCAGGGGAGAGTCTTTCTCCTCCGTCAGTCCCACGTAGTATATCTGCAGCCTTGTGAGCAGGATAGGCGGAATCATTTCTCACACGAAGCAGGTAGCTCATTGCTTTTTTAACTACATCACTTATGTCGTCCTTGGTAGCTTGTCGAAATGAGCTAACTACTGACGATTGTACTCTTTGAAATTGGTATCCAAAGAATCCCATCACTGATGTATCATTTTCATCCACCCAGTCACGACAAGACTCTGGAAGGTACTCAAATACAAATGTTCTTGTAAAATCTCTGTCTTCCTTCAACTTTCTGAGAACTAATATAGCTTCATCCTCTGTGATGACACTACTTACTACATTCATTTCGGCCCATTTTCGAATGTGTTTAGCGCCATGTCTTTCTAGCAAATTAAATATAGCTGTGATAGTTCCATAAGTTGCTTCTTGCAAGTTAGAATCACACCAATCGTCGTTCTGAAGCAGAGCAATGGTTTTAATCACATCAAAGGCCTCATTTTCCATTCGCCTTGCCCCAGCTCCGATAGCAAGCACTTTGTCGTTGTTGGAAGCATCATGCGTTACAAGGTCGTCTATTGCATCAAGTAATGCACGAACCCATTTTCCGCCTTCGGTATCAGAAAAAGTACCGGTACCGTATTGCATAGAACCCGATACATCCAAGATAGCCCCGGAATAATACCGGCAAGTCATTTTAAATTATTCTGAAATGCGAAAGTTAGACTTTCTAACAAAGTATTACATTAAAATTTGTTATCCATTTGATCATTTTAATTTCATTTTCAAGAACTTTTAAATATGTGATATATTACATAAGTTTTAAAAAATTCATTGACCATATATATGAACTTTTGCTTTTGATCTAGAGTTTGAATTGAAGTCAAAATACTTTATTTTGCTTACTTTAAAACATATAATTGCACGTTTAGCACTACATTCTGTAGATGTTTAAAATGATTAAAACATTACTGAACAGATGTTTTCCCTTTAAAAAATGGTTTCTGAAGGATATCCGATAAAAAAAACTCATTTATAAGCAATTATAAAATGCTTATCTTGTTAAAGATATTATAATCATTTGATTTTAAGAACATAAAAACGGCCACTGATTGGCTTATTGAAAGTCTTCTTATAAGTCCCTGTCAGATTCTTGAGAGTAGAGGTATTTAGAGGCTGATTTTATTCAGTTAAAGAAAAAACAAAATAGAATGAAATTTCTTATCATTTCAATGATAAAATCTCTTAAACAAAATTTGATAATTGAAATTCAAATCTGGTTTAAAAACGTTTATTAATAAAAAAAAACTCATATCATTTCAAAAATGGCCGAGACTTTAAACTAAAATTGTCAGGATCAATTGACATACAAAATTTAATTTATGCATTTAAATGTAAAGGTTGTTCAAAAGATTATATTGGATAAGCTTCAAATTTAAGAAATCGAGGAACATTACACAAACAACATATACGATTTCCGGGCAATGCAATATTACTAGTCAGTCGCCACATTGCCTTTTTCACAAGAAATAAGTTTTCCGAAGTTTAATATAATGCCAATCTATAAAATGTAAGAACCAGAAAAATCAAAAAGAACAAAGTTAAAGAAACTGTATAAATAAATGTTTTAAAACCAGAATTGCCTTCAAAATAACTTTATTTGTTATACTAGAATTAAAAAGAATCTAAATTTTTTATCCCTTTTGTTGCTGTCAATTTTACTATAATTTACTTTCAAATAATAATTTTATTTGTTTAGTGTGTGAAATATTTCAAATCCTAGTCGGTTTTTATTATTTTCAAGCAATCTGTCTCCGATCCATTTTGACAGTTTGACAATATTGTCTGTTTATGTTGTAGTGAAAGTCGAGTTTAGATAGTCTGTATAAGAATTATGAATTGGGTAGCCGGTCTGTATGCGATTTATTTACTGGATGACATCATATTAAATACAAAAGGGCGTATGCAAATTAGGTATAATATTATATTTTTTTAACTTATTAATATGTCCATTTAAAACGTTATAAGAGTGACATCCCTTTACGCTGTATTGACGTCGTTACCAAGCGACGTTATTAACGTCATTATCTTAGAAATCCCTTTAACAAGTGAAACCGGTAGACATTTTTCGAAATTCTTTTAGCCCACTATTTTCATCCGTATTGTTTGAACATTTTAATTTCGAAAATACACACACACATTCCAAGTTCAAAGACAAAAGACATCGATACAAATTTTACTGTTTTTTTTGTGTTGCAAATGGCGCAAGTTTCAAATCCGAATCAACAAGTCTTCGAATGTTCCAGTTGTGTATTATAAATATATTGACGTCATTTCAATGTGATTTTAAGACAACATTTTTTGCCGCTCAAAAATGTTTTTAAAGGCCATATCTTATTTAAGTTTAAAATCTATATCTTGAATCAACAAAGTCTGTCGAATTTCGTGGCTCTTAATGTACACCGTGTCGTGCATAATAACTTTAACACAAAAATGATCTAACTTGGGGGCAAGCCTGCTTTCTGCATTCGACGTCCCTTCCGAATTTAGCATTTGAAAAATAATTACAAAAAAGGTTAAACCCATGTAAACAGAAGTTGCCCTTTAAGTACGAATGATTCAATGTAACAGAGTTTATCTACTCAGTGACGTAAGATACGCATTAAGAGCAAACAATGATTTGTCTTCATCCTTAATTTCAAACTTTAGTTTGCATTTTGGACATTTGGCTAACGTAAATGTTCCTTCAAAAGCTGACATCCTCGATCTCAACTTGCACATTGGACACATCATTTGCTTTGTTTTAAGTTCTGTCAGTTCTCTTTTCATGTTTTCTTTCTCTTTACTTAAAGATTCATCTTCATCTTTTTCATCTTCATCTTTTTCATCTTCATTTTTTTCATCTTTCAAGTAAACATCGATGAACTTTACTTTCAAAATACCGGCATTTTCCACCCTAAAAAAGCCTGTATCTGCCCATTCTTCACCACGGAAGTGCATAAATCGAAAACATTTGCTGTTAAAACTTGCTAACAGAGCAGCATGCTCTGAAAGAATGACATCTGGAAACCTTTCACTCAAAACAATGTCATCTGATGTTAAAATACCAAACGGATTGGTTTTAAAGAATACGTCAAGAATTTCTACTTCTTCGTCGGTCAGTTGAAACGTCGCAATTACAGGTCGTTTTGCTGCAATGGCAACCATCGCTGTACTTGCGTCAACTGGCCGATAAGCCAAACCGTGTTTAGCAAATATTTTCTGGAGCCGTTGTTGATCATTCTCTGTTTCGAAGATTATTTTTACTTCGTCAAGTAAATCCTTAATATTCGGAATTCCATTGTGGTCATTTCGGGCCTTTGATAAATGAATGCTTGTTGCAACTGCAGTAGCAAGCGTATGACCCATTTGATGACGACCAGTAATGGCTGGTTTTGCTGCGTTGATGTATACGTCTAGCGGTATGAGAGGAATGAGGTCTAATAGAGAATCCCGACAACTTAATGCGTTTTGAACAAGGGCAAATTGTTCATTTAATCTTTTGAAATCCTTAACCTGAAAAAACAGCTTTGCTTTCTCGTTATTGACATCAATTAAGTTTCGTGTCATGAAAATTGCTCGGGAAATTGGATCCATTGGAAATGTTGATGAACTTAGTTCCTTTAACATTTCCCCATCTTTTCCAATACTGTCGGCATCAATATTGGTTAAGTTATCTTCACCCTTTGAGAAAGTTGTAAAAAAGCAAACAACTTTTACATTTGCAGCTTCAAACTTCTGATTGAGGTCTTCAGTATCAACTTCATCTATTGAGCAACCATCTGAGATGACAAATAAAAACCTTTGATGGTTTGGCAATGCACTTGATGAATTTTTAAATACCTTGCATAAATCGCTTAGTGAAGAATATAATTTGTTCCCTCCATAGATAAAAGGATCCACAATTGACAAGATTCTTTGCAACGAATATTGCTTGTCTTTGCAACTTTCTCCAATGACACTTGAAGCCGCTTCACTTATTCTATATATACAGTCGTCTTTTATTTCTACCAACAGAGACTCCTCAATATTCGACATTGACCGATTTACAACTTCTCTTATTTCCAATGGGGTGGCTTGGCGGTAGAAGCTTCCTATTGAAGCATATACTTTTTGAATTAAGTACCCTAAACCTTTCCAGTCACGACATGATGCATGCAAGAAATGTTCAACAAACCTCTTAGCAAAGTCGTGGTCTGATCTGAGGCGGTTAAGAATAAGTTTTGCCTCATGTTCAAGTACGTTTTCACGAAAAATCATCCTGTCAACCCATTTTCTTGTAATGCCTGCACCATTTTCTTCAAGACATGCGAAAACACTTTCCATCGTTCCATCTGATATTTTTTCCATTTTGAGAATGTCTCCTGAATGAAGCGTCCCAATCAAGTCAAACATTCCGCTACATTGACTACCACCCACGGCAGCGGCAAGTATCCGGTTATATTTGGATATGTCAAACTGTACAGCTGAAACTATTACTTGAATTTGTGACAGAATATATTGCCGCCGAATTTCTGCACTACTTTGCTTCTCCGCTTTTGGACAAGACATGTCAAGCAGAATTCCAGTTAAAGAAAATGCTTGAAACTCTGAAATTTAAGATTTAAACATTTGCTGTTTTGTTGTTGTTGTTGTCGTTGTTGTTTGAATTTGATAATCGTTCATAAAACAATACTAAAATTTCCAACTTACACAAATTATTTATTTATATACTGTTTTAAATCATAAAATGCTTATTCATGTCAGAAACAATAAAAGATAATTGAAAATAATGTGCAATGTTTATTTAAAATTATTTGAGTAAAACAATTTTCTTCTGACGGCCTGGTTAAATACAATCAACATCAGTTCTGCATCATATAATAAACTTAGCTTGTCTGAGATACAAATAAGTTATTGGTTTATATTTTTGGCTACGCCTTATTGTGAGAATAAATAACTTTGAATGCCGCCTTTCCTTGCTGATCTTGTTTATCATATTTTGACCATATCTTATACCAATTACCAATGCCAAGCTAGCACACAACGATATTTCTTAAATGATATATGATTTAAATATTTTGAAATGTTGTGTTCTTCAAAAATATTGTTTTACCTTTGTCATAGCTTTTTCCATCAGCATCCTAAAAAACCGTAAATGCGATGTTAGTAAATTTGTCATCTTTTTTTTAATTGGATTTTTTTTATAAAAGATTAAAACTGTTTTGAAAGCCATTTAACTCCGACATAGTAAAACATAGTATTGCATCTAACTATCATTTCAAACTATCATCATGTTACGATCATCATGTTATTAAGCTAAGTATTACTCTTATCTTTAGCGGTTTACTTGTTTTATCTCACACTGAACCCGCCAGTTGTGTAAAAAGCCGTATGCATAAATCTAGAAAATTTAAGTATTTAAGTTTCGCCCTTACTGCACAATCACGTCTAGGTCTCTTCTGTCCAATGCTCAGATCCTCATTTGAAATATCTTTTAATGCCGTTTGACGTCCTCTTTTTTCACTGACCGATTCTTCGATATCTACAAAAATATTTATTTGATTTTATTTAAGAATAATACGGCATTCGTGGTCAATTCCTACGCATAAAAACAACAAACTGTTGTTAAGTAGCCGATAAACACTGCTGAGACCGATATTATTTCGATTCTAACAAGACATATGAAGGAAGACCTCAAACGCTATTTTTCAAGCGGAGATTAGTTCCAGTGCCGATTTTCGTATAATGTTGTTCGATTTCGCACCCTTCTGTTGCTAAGATATAGAAATTATTAAACAAAAGAAATAAGAAAAAAGCTATTTTGTCAGTTTTCAACAATTAAAACATGCCAATCTGGATTATATTGAATTTACATCAGTTCTCGATTAATCATTCTTGTTTGCTTAAAATGACATCATTCTAGCGCCTGTATAAATGAGTTGTATTCTTAGGGTGACGTCATTACGTTGCTAACTTATTGGCGCCGATTTGTCATATAAGTTATATGAACTGATACGGATCAAACCTTTGGCGGTTATGTATGTAAAATATCATTTAAGCATTATATGAGAAGAAAAGATTGTCGGAACGGAAGATATCAACCAAAAAGCGATTTATTGTTCTCTTTAAAGAAGTGTTAACTATATTATCGAGGGAGAAAACATAACAGGCGCATATACATGTAGTCCCTAAGGCAGTTTAACACCATTTTTTCCCCTTCTTTCTGTTTAGCGACAAAATCACGAGGAGTGTAAGAATTAAATATATGTCATAAATGCATAAATACATATATTAACACATATTGTATATCGTTTTGATAAAGGGTACTCGAAATATACAGAAAGTATTTTTCGTACCAAAAGATGTTTAAAATAACTTTTTACCGCTCTTACCAGATTTTATCAATGACGCTTTGAATGTCTCTTTCGTTGCATTGGTTCTCTTGGTATCTTCGTTACCATCAATGACCTATAATTGTTTAAAAATTGCATCATGTCTGCAAATAATATGCTGCAGCATATTCAAATTATTTGTACATTATTTGTTTAGACATAATTCTTTGACTTTATCATTACTAATGTTCATTCAAAAACGATCATATGACACATTCAGTATAAAATTTCCATTATATTCTTGACAAAACGAAGCACTATTATTATTCATATTAAGAAATAGTTACCATCTTTTCATCTTCTGAACTTTCTTCTAAACAGTATGATGCGTTTTCTCCTAAAAGAGTATATAAAGCAAATAAATAATACCTTAACTCGAGAAACGGTTAATTGTTACCTTGTTTAGTTTAAAAATGTATCCGTAATATTATTGCTAACCCCTTTTATTTTTTAAATATTGATGATTAAAATACTTTGACATGTGGTTTTTTTTTTTTTTTAAAAAATGGGGATGTAAATAAAAACTAAAAGGAAAAATGTTAATTAAAAAAAAATTTCGGGGAAGCTTAAAAAATATGCTACTACATTCAAACTTTCAAAATAAATCTTATAATAAGCCAAAATATCTCACTCAGTTGATGACTAAAACTCGTTTAGATGAAAATACGTAAAGAAATGATACCTTTCAATTCACAGAGGGACTCAATTGTCAAACAAGTGTGTATTCGGAAAATAGTACCGAAGTGATATCCAAGCTCTTTTGTTATACTCGTTATTGCTTCTTTGAAAAAATCACTTTCAAGATATTCAATAAGAGCCAAAACAGTGGCAGGTAATGTGGTTACGACAGAAAGGAGTATGCATTTTTGTTCAACGCTTATTCTTTTAATGTCTTTATTCTTTTTTATGTCTTCCAGTATCTTATAAGCTTCCTTCTGAATTGCATTAAAATTAGTTTTTTCTTCTGTTCGATGTATGGCTTCTTGCCAAACCCCAACAAGAATCTTTTCTGCCAAACAAGTTGTTTCTTCAGAAGATCCGCAAGTTATCATTTTCAATTCTAAAACTGTAATATACAATACATAAGATAAAACTCCTACAAAGTTGCAAAAATGTTATACCGATTTCAATCTTTTTCCATTTCTAAATAGGCAAATTAAAATACCTTTTTCAGATGCAAACGGTATGCTTTCATTTTTCATCTTTTGCAATATGCTCTTCGTTTCTCTTAGTGTTTCTGCATGAAAAAGACATAACATTATAAAAATATTAATATTGTAGGGAATAATCTGAGGGTTAACAACTTGCACTCATTAGACATTTCTCTTAAGTGACAAACATATAATGCAGGTAGAAGATTCGTAAGGTATAAAACAAATTGTTATCGTAAATCGGGAAAAGTAACACATTAAAGAGAGCATAATTGGCCATGTATACAAGAGGAACGTTATTTTGAAAAAAAAATAGTTAAAGTTATTGCATTTTGGATGTTACATTAAGTCAATAACAATAAGTGTTTTTAATCATCTTTTGTTAAAATATTTACTTACGATTGTAAACCTCCGTAAAACTTTTGATTCCTTTTGCTTTTAAATAATTAGTGCATTTTCCTAGACTTTTGGTAATTTTACTTTCTTCTAGTATATCAGTAAACTTGCATTTCTGTTCTTTCAAAAGGAATTTTGACATGAACTTTAAGCTAGCTTCCAGATCTGATAAAGAATCGTCGAATGTTTCTGTGTCAAATACCTTTAGTGACATAGTTGCATAATTTTTATGAGCAGATTGGATGAATTCTATTTCTTTGCTTATTTCTTCTTCATCTTTGTCGAACGTAAATAATATCACGGTAGCAAGCGATGATATATCTAAAAATGATGAGTCAAACTTGTCAGAAAAATCCGAAGACTTTTGCGGAAACAACCTTTCAAGTTGTTTCATGTCTGTTATCTTTTCCCTTAGACTACTTTCTTTTTGGTGAAGACGTTTCTTGAAATCTGTACAGTTATTTGCAATTTTTTGGTTCAAATATGATGACAAAACAAAGTGCACACCTTTATCCAGCAGATATATGTACTTATCATAGCGATTGTTAGATTTCCTCAAATAAAATGCACACTCTGAAATAATAAATACAATGTTATGACTTAAGCACCAAATATCAATGTTTTACACCATTTTATCACAAGTTTATTTAAAATGTTTACCTATTACAAGATAGGTGGGACATAAAATGAACAATGTTTACATCAAAATAACAAATCAAATTATCCTACCTTCTAATGTTTTAAGTAGTTTATCCACCTGAAAATTATACGTGTAACGTTTTAGTCATAAACCTTTACGTTAGGTGAAGCAATCTTGAGTAGTCAAATTGAATAAAACCATATGTGCAAAACAATTGATAGAATAATGCCCTCATTTTTTTTCTTTTTCCCTTTAACATTACGTTTATAAGAATGGACCAGAAAGAAATGATTTAAAATTGATCCATCTGTATATCCGTTTGATTTAATATAATTAAAAATACTTGCAACAGTAGAATGCTAATACTATAAACATACCTCAGTCTGAATCAGCAAGATCCTAGCCATCCATTCATTAACAAACTCTTCACATTTTTCCTTGGAAAATTGATCAAGGGGTTCCTTTTCGTAATATTTTAATTTTTCTTTTAATTTTGTTTCATATTCTGGATTAATTTTTGTACATATTCTGATAAGAATTTTTGTTACTTCATCCCAATAGTTGTTAAATTCCTCCTCTTCAAGTTCTGCTATTACAGAATGCGCAACTGTGTGATTTCGACGGGTTCTTAAGCGTAGCAAGTCAGCACCAATGGATTCGTCCTCAGGTTCCGGAGGATGGTCCCAGCCTTTTTTAGGAGATTTCAATTGATCTTCAGTAAATAGATTTATAATAAGAGTAATCAATGTATTCAAATCCAAATCCTGCATAGATCCTGCTTTTACGTGTTCAAATGCTGTTTTATCAAGAATCTTTTTACGCTTCAAGTGTTCAATCTGCTGTTTTATTTCTTTAGATTTAAGGAAATCTGAAATACTATCGGCTTGGGAAAGCTTCTGTAATACAGCAGTTGCGGTTTCTGTGCTGAGGTCTATGAACATCCAAATAAAGCGAAGATAGAGTGAATGGTTTTCTTTTGAATTATGCATATTGCCTTTTCTACTCAAAAAGCTTCTATCGTAAACGATTACTGTATCTTATGAAATGCCTTTCATTAGATTAAATTTTTTTGGTTTTGTTTACGATAATATATTTCATGAATTGAGATAGAGTTGCTGGGTCGTTCCTTAAAACAATCCAAAACGACTTTAAGAATCTTTTGACACAAAATGATATTGAACAAGTAACCAATACCATATAAACACTTGTTTGTAGCTCGGCGAAAATCTTTTGTGAGGCACCAGCCAATTGTAATATGTATCATAGCGCTTTCAGACCTGTAACCTCTTGCAGTGCAGGTGACCTCTTGACCACTGACGTTTTGACCACAGGTTAATTGAAAACCGATCCACTTAAAAAAACCTGAACAGCTTCAATGCCATAATTTTGTTTAGAAATTGAAATTAAACTTAAGCAAGCATAATTGTGATTAGCAGATGTTATCTTATTTAAAAACTGCAAAATCAAATTCTACTGGAGAAAAATAGCTTAAAATCATATAGTACGGTTGGTATTTAATATCAAATATAAACTTGGTCTAGATCTTTCAAACTAAAGGGCTAAGATGGTCCTAGATTGCTCACCTGACCCATCAATCTCATCCGATTAAGCATCCTGACCAAGTCGGATGACACTTGAGTCAAACATTTGACCTCTAGAATGTTAACAAGGTTTTCCTTATTTGGGCAGTGTGACTTAGTTTTTGACCGCAGGTGACACATATTCAAAGCTGACCTAGAAATCATCAAAGAAACCTTCCTGGTCAGTTTCCAGGATAATTGGAACAAATCTGCAGCTACTAGAGTGTTAACAAGATTTTACTATTTGAAGCTCCTGTGACCTTGTTTTTAACCCAGGACGACTCATATTTAAACATGACCCTGAAGTCATCAAAACAACCTACCAGACCGATTTCCAGAATATTTGGATCAAAACTGCAGCCACTAGAGTGTTAACAAGGTCTTTCCATTTTTAGCTCCTGTGACGTAGTTTTGAACAGACACAACCAATACTGAATTGCACTTATTCATTATCCCTCATGTGCAGACTCAATCAAACCGAGTCTGCAATTCTTATGTTATTTTGTTGTGATTAATGCTTCCGAGGGATCACTTTCTTTCCAGAATTTTGACCTAGAAAACCTCAAAACAACCTACCTGACCAATGTCCAGAATATTTGGATTAAAACTGCAGCCACTAGAGTGTTAACAAGATTTTTCTATCTTAAGTTCCTGTGACCAAGGTTTTGATCCGATATGACCTGTATTCTAACTTGACCTAGAAATCATCAAAACAACCTTCATTATTAATTTCCAGGATATTTGGATCAAAACTGCAGCCACTAAAGTGTAAAGAAGATATTTTTATTGTGACTTTGTTTTTGACAAGAGACGGCAAATATTCGAACTTAATCTAGAAATCATCAAAATAACCTTCCTGACAAACTAGCAGAATGTTTTGGTCTAAACTGCAGCCACTAAAGTGTTTACAAGGTTTTTCTATTTTTAGCTCCTGTGACCTAGTTTTTGACAGATAATGACTTATATTCGAAATTCGAACTTGACCTAGAAATCATCCAAACAACCTTCCTTATCAATTTCCATGATATTTTGATCAAAACTGCAGTCACTAGAGTGTTAAGAAGATTTTTTTCTATTTTTAGCTCCTGTGACCTAGTGTTAAAACCGAGATGATCCATATTAGAACTTGACCTGTATTTCATTGAGACAAACATTTAATTATGACATAATCAAAAATGTGACTGCTAGAGTGTTAACAACCCAAATGTTGACGATGCACAACGCACGGCGACTGACGCCGGACAAAGCCTCATCACTTTACCTCACTTTGACTTCTTCGTGGTCAGGTGAGCTATAAACGGAAAAAGGCGGCTAAATACCCGGAAATAGTATGGGATGAAAAATTACACACACCAATCAAACGCAAATTTTTAAAGCGGAGAGTTAAGGTCAATGTATTGATATCTTAAGGTCTGCTGATTCAGATAAGGCAGATGCTTTTTCCAAGGAAAAAAAAGGTTTTAAATATTCATTGACTGTAATTGATCTATTTAGCAAATACGCTTGGGTAATTCTATTATGGAACAGAATTAATGCATTTATTCTATCTTGCTTGATGACATTGGAACTTGCATTATGCTTAATTCCATCTTGCTTGATGACATTGGAACTTGCATTATGCTTGATTCCATCTTGCTTGATGACATTGGAACTTGCATTATGCTTAATTCTATCTTGCTACATAACACTAGAACTTGCATTATGCTTAATTCCATCTTGCTTTATGATATTTAAACTTTGCATTATGCTTGATTCCATTTTTCATTATTTCATTCAAACATTTCGTAGTGACCAATTCTTTCATTGAGTGATAACAAGCCATTTGGAATACTAAAATGTTAACGTCATATACCTTTATGTATAAGTTACCTTTCTTCATGCTCTATACAAACCATTTACGTTTAGTTTTTTTTTGTATTACTTTTATGTAGAAGTCATTTAAAATTGACTATTTTTTGTTCCCTGGTGGATTCGCTTATATCCATTATTCAGTGTTTATGCTTAATAAAGCTCGGTGTCCGAGGCTTTGTGGATTATGTTTGATCATCTTACATTATGATAAACAATTTAAACTATGTCGCGATTTGTGAACTGTTAAGGGGCGAGAACTCTGTTATCGATATCAACGGAATTTTTCCACGATTCGCCTATCATCGGAATTTTCCGTATAGATACTGCGTACTAGTATATATAAATAAAATACGTAGTAAGCGCTTAATACATAAATTGCAGTTGAAAGAATAAAAATACAAGTAGTAAAGGATTATGCAATATAATTTTATATATGTATACAGTCTAATAGAAAAAATATGCTCGTAAACAGTTATTCAATGGGGCAGTTATACGTACAGTGGCGGATTCAGGCCCTGGCTTAAGGGCTGCACCTACCCCCAAATATACGTTCATGAGCTGGGATGGAATATATACGTGTCAGTTTCATGCAATAGTCTTCTTAGTGTACTCCCTTACCAAAACATATTATGCTGTCATCCAGTTGTTAAGCACCGGCCTAGGTACTGCGAAGGTCTTTATCTAATGACTTGGACATTAAAAAGCAAAAATTATTGGCCTTTTAACTTAACAAATGTCTCAGAGTCACTAATACTGGCGAATAGGTATGTAACACATTAAAATATACATGTATAATAAGGAAAGAAGGAAGTTGTTTATTTTTGTAACATGTGCATAGTCAATTACAAATGAGCCGCGTCACGACAAAACCAACATAATTGGTTTGCGACCAGCATGGATCCAGACCAGCCTGCGCGTTCAGGATTCATGCTGTTCGCTATCAGTTTCTCTACTTGTAAAAGAGTTGGAAAGCTAACGGCATGGATCCATGCTGGTCGCAAACCCATTATGTTGGTTTTGTCGTGACGCGGCTCAAATGTTGGGCATATGTGTGTCTGATTATAGATCAGACATCCCGCACACACCACCACATTCACATACATTTGTGCTTAATGATATACTATGCACATCTTTCAGTAAGATATTTTTATCACAGAAATTTATTGAAATCTATAAAATTCTTACTAAATATGTTTTATTTAAATAAAAACACATACACATAATGTATAGGAATCTGCTTTTCTTATTACGGGTCAAGTAAAGTTGTGCCTGTCTTTAAAAGAAACTTCCATATTTTTTTTGTAATAACACTATACATGTATATTCATACTGCCCACTTACAGTGTAAAGGATTTAAAGCACACATATTTGTGTGAAGCCAAATTATATTTATTTTATTTTACAGAAAAAAAAATCAAGTTTGTACTGTACTAAGTCGTGGCCACGAGTTACTTATTCGTGGCCACGAGATAGTTAAGTCGTGGGAACGAGATACTATATCGTAGCCACGAGATACTATGTCACGGCCACGAGTTACTAAGCCGTTTAAGTCGTGGGAACGAGATAACTAAGTCGTGCAGACTAGATAATTAAATCAGATTACACCATGATTTTTTAAACTTAGAAAATTACTGTTTAAAGATTTACGTGCAACATTAATCTTTGAAAATACTAAAGTGTTCACTTTGAACTTGATACATGTCTTTAGGATCATAAGGCCCATAAATCAGACATTAATTTTGACTAAGTTATAGCCCTTTGTTGGGACAATTCTATGATAGAATTGGTCATTTTGTACGTACAACGGCCTGTCAACATTGTTTATACCATAACTTGAGAGGGACTTAGTCCTGGTTTATTTTATTGGGTAGGGACATTGCCCACGGACAGTAGATATCCTATAACGATGTTTGAGGTCACGGGTCAGATAAACATGACACTTCATGTAAATTCCTTGTCTGATGAATGATTTAGAAAGAATAAGCCGTAGTTTATATAACCTCAAAAAGATCAGTAGATGACACCTAATAATTTTTAGGCAATTTGGTCAGAAATCAGGGTCACAATGACGCTAAATCTTTGACCAATCAATAACTTTTATAAATGGCACTTTTACGGACAGGAGAAGTAGGGGCATCCTTGTTAGGAAAATTCATATAAATAGTGTAATTTGATTGGTTATTTATCTCGTTCGCACGACTTAACTTTCTCGTGGCCACGACTAAACTTTCTCGTGGCCACGACATAGTAACTTGTTCTAACGACTTATTTATCTCGTGGCCACGACTTAGTAACTCGTGGCCACAACATAGTATCTCGTTCCCATGACTTAACTATCTCGTGGCCACGACTTAGTAACCCGTGGCCACGACACAGTATCTCGTGCGCACGAGATAAATAAAAACACACACATGTCACCTTTGTGCCACCGTAAGTTTGAGCATAGTATATCTTAAAATTCAATTTCACTATTGCTCATACGACTATCACACACGCTCAAAAAGAAGTGTAAACAATTGTATAAGAGGTGAGTTGCCACTTGTAGGATGAGTTATAAGAGACATCTATAACATTGTTTTCCACATGCTGGCGGAATCTTCAAAAACAAGCACTTTTCGTCTGTCGCATCGTGTTCTCTTGTTTTTCAGTAAATTTTCCCTTTACATGTCAGTCCCCAAATAACACTGTTCTGTATACGCCCCTGTATAAAGGGCGTGCCAAAATACGGGATCTTCCGGAAAATAACGGGATGTACCGACAAAGCGACACCTTCTGTCATAATATGAACACAAATTATTGCAACTCGCATTATGCTTACTGCCAACTGCTTAGTGCGTACTGTCACATGCGACTATAATATCGCTATCGTTGTCATCTTCGTTGTCGATGCGCATTGATCATGTATTGCATTATATTTGTAATCAGTGAATATATTGAAGCATATGAATGCTAAGACACATCAAATTCGCCAATTATTGATCAAAATTAATAATTTTATGTCGATAATATAAGTGGAAAATTTATAGCAAATTAAAGGTACTGACAGAAACTTACCATGTTACATATAGTTATATCAAGAACAAGCAAAGAATGTTATCTTAAACACCAAACATAATACGTTGTCCTTAATAAAAGATGCAATTAAACATATAGCATATTAAAATATGTGAGTTTGATGGTTTAGTAGGGAACACATAAGGTTGCAATTACATGAAAGTGCATTCAGTAATCACAAGGCATGATTGAATACAGCAAAACGCAGGTTTCCATTGTCATAAAGAAGTATAGAAGCAAGCATAATGTAAGTCCCGATATCATAAAGCAAGATGGAATAAATGCACTAATTCTGTTCCATATTCTATTGAAGACTATTACCGTGACTCTATTACTGAAGCTTTTAATACAATGATTTCTGGAAGGGGAATTCCGCAGAATTGATGGGTAGATAAAGGAAAATAATTTTATAATAAACGAATGAAATAATAGAAAGAGAAGTAAAAATCTAATAATAGAAAGATTTAATAGAACACTTAAACGAATTATGTGGAAATATTCCACAGCAAATAAAACTAATACTTTTATCAGTAATTTATCAAAAATGTCAGGATATATGATCAAACAATACATAAAAGTATAAAATGACTCCTAAACAATAAAATAAGACTGAAAAAAAAGTTTCTGTTTATTTTAATCTATACGGAAAATCAAAAATACTGAACGATAAACTCAAATCTAATTTTAGTGGCCTCGTCCGTTTGATTGAATTAAAAAGACTTTTTGAAAAAGAATATACACCAAATTGGATAGAAGAAATATAACTATTTCATTAACGGTTTAAACAGTATAAATCGCGGTTCGTTTTATGAATTAAAACTTTAACCTACAGACAAAAAAAATTAAGAATAGATTCAATTCAAACATTAGATCAATAAATCAACCATCTTACTAAACTTGCTTCAGCTTTTACAAAAAGTTATAAGTTTTGTGATGGAAGAATGATTACTGGATAACAGATAACGTCGGGTATTATGGTCTGCGCTGCTTGCCAGCTATTCCGTTGCAGGACAGCTTCCACAGGTAGTTATTATTTTGATAAAAAAAACCTCTTTAAACTGAAAATAAAAAAGCTACCGTAAAATAATATCATCAAAAGTTAAAAGGTATAAACATTTTTGTTTATAATATTTGTATAATATATATGTTTTTAAAATATTGTTCTACAGCTAATTTTTTCAAACAATAATCAAGCAGAAGCATAACATTAATCAGCTAATTTTCAATCAAAAGCATGAATTATTTGCAAAAAGAATGAAATTAAAATATATTAAAATAATCATAAGATGATATTATTGATAGAATCAGAAAATGGATGTCAGAAGGTAGTGAATTGCGAATCGAAAAGGTCGTAATTTTAACATATAAACAAATATTCTCCGCTTGCTACTTTAAGTTATCTACCCCTCCTTACTAGTTTGCAACATGCCAAAAGGATTTAATAAGCAAAAAAAGAACAAATGATGACAATCTATGTTTCAGATGATGTCATTTAGCTTATAAATTCCAATCAGACAATCATCCAGAAAGGGTTTCCAAATATAGAAAAAACATAGACAGGTAAGATTACACTGGAATAAGAATTTCTTGTAACAATACAACAAAATTCAAAAGATAGAGTCTCAAAATCAAATAATTTTAAATTTAGTAAAGTTGGCTATGAAGAACCTTGAAGTGTTTACAATAGCATTCCTCCATTACCTTATCATTATCATGCTTCAGGAAAATTCTGGGGTAGTGCTCATTTATCATGTAATCCAATTTTCCAATCCTAAAGAAAAAATATTTAATAATCTTTTCGGGGTTATGACAGTCATTTCATCATGCAACAAATTTGAAGTTTTTTTTAATTTTTTTAATTTAATACATCTTATCTTTAGCGACTCCTTTCAATTTATGCCTCAATTATTAGATTATTTAGCTAAAAATGTACAGAATTTAAATTCCAAACTGAAGAAATGGTCGATAACTGTGATATTTACCTTCTGTAGATAAAAGGTGTTTATACATATATTCATATTATTCATATACGTGATAGTGAGAATGAATATGTCCAAAAATATGTAAAACATCAAATGGAAACAATTGGAGAATATCATAATCTATATTTGTAAGCATACAAGTACTACTATTGTCTGCTATATTTGAACATTTCCGGGATATGTGTTTAACGAATTGTAGCTAAGATCCGTGTCTTTTTTTTAGTAGTTAAGGATAAACTTGGGATACAATGTTAAAGATTCATATTTGCTTGAATTTAATAATTGCTATTGGCATGCATCTTTTCTAAGAGGAGTTATTTTATCTCCAAACGACACAGCAGAGTTTATAATAAATACCTTAAAGATTTTAAGTCTGATAAATCAAACATTTTAGAATGGTTGGGAAATGTGTCAATCATTACCATCAGGAAATTTTAAGTGGATCAGTGAAGCTTAAAGGGAAAGACAAGGTTAGAATAAAAACTTGATTTCAGAAAAAGAATACTATAAATAATAAATCTGCAAATCTTCTGCCGCCAAATAATAATATTAAACGAATGATAACAAAATTTAAATCTCTAAATCACCGATTTCTACAAATTAGTAGGCGCGGCCATGTTTGTGTATTGGCCGTATAAAAACAGGTGCGCGTGATGTCAATTCCCCACATCTTTAGATTTCTGATAAATCTAGTAGAATCGTAGCGAAATATTAATATAATAAAGTATTGACCAGACAAATTAATTTTCACAGGAGGTGTAGAGGAGATTTTTTGAGTTCAAAATAAGTAACAATATAAAAAAAAATGAATAAATAAAAATAAAGAAACAAATAAAAAATCAACGTCTACCGGTCGCATCACTTTAGACCAGTGATGCCCGTTACTCAAAACAATGCTATTTTCATTAAAGTCTCATCTTAATGTAATTAAAAAATATTTCACAGATTTAATAAACACACATGTTATTATTTAACAAAGTTTCACAATCAAATAATGCAATTAAATAAACAAATGCACCAACGAATAATTGGCTGTTAATTATTGAACGGCGATAACTATCATTATTCAACTCAACTCAAATAATTTTATTGGCATAAAACAAATAACAAGTTTATAGCCATACAAAATATAACCAGTTCAGTGATAATAGAAAGACATGCATGTTTATATCATTTACAGAAGAGTACTGTAAAGACAAATACATAGTATTTTTTTTAAACATTTTACGAAGTAAGATTTTATGTGATAACATAAACAATTACAATACTATACGGCGACACTGTGTTAATTAAATTTAAACTATACAGTATAATGATGTGTATTGATGTATATCTCTGTTTACCTAAAAAAAAGCAATTCATGTACATAAAGTTATGATTAGGAGACACGTAATTTTGTTGCAAAATATATAAATTTCGACAAACTTATAATAGTTGCGTTTGATGTAGAAGACATAAGATTTTTAAATTTCGTTAACGTAGGCCAGTGACAATAATAGTTCTTCAAATATTTACGCCTTAGTTCTCTATATTTGGGGCAAACTAACAGAAAATGGTATTCATTCTCTAATATATTAATGTTGCATGATAAACAGACCCTTTGCTCTCGCAGCACATTGTTATATCTTCCGATTTCTATATTAAGTCTATGAGAAGAGGTTCTGAAGCGGGCTAAAGCACTTTTAAACCTTTGATCAGTTATAACTTCCAAATACCGTTCTCTTTCGAAAGCGTGTTTAAATAAACTATATGTTTCTAAACGTCTAGAATTAACCACCTCTGAATACCATCTTTGGAGAAAGTTATCAATTATTCGTTGTTTAATCTCTAAAAAGGGTATTTGTGTGTATATATCGGATTGTTGCAACCACACATAGAGAAACCCGTGTTCTTGCAAAATACTCTTTATTTGAAACGCCCAGTTACCCTCGTTAACATTACCTAGCTCGCAATCAGTTTTTTAACATAATGTAAACCTTTTTCTGAAGTGACGACTCATCTTGATTTAATATTTTCACCCAGTATTTAATCATATTAATCTTACGAATTACGGACATAGGCATTCTAGCTAATTCTCCATAGAGTGCATTTAAGTTTGTAGATTTTTTTACACTTAACATACGGCGCAGGAATTTCGTGTGAACATGCTCAATATCGTTAGCAGGGTGCATACCCCATATTTCCGATCCAAAATTTAAGATGGGCGATACCAATGAATCAAATAGCTTACATTTCTGATAAATTGGCAGTTCTACGTTATTTAATATTGTAAAAAGATTGTGTAGCGCATAGCCAGCATGCTGCGCAATATTTTTCTGTGATCGATACCAATTTCCATTTTTAAAAAAAGTTAAGCCAAGATATTTAAAAGAATTAACTATTTCTATAACTTCATTATTTACATAAAAATTATAAGTAGTATGTCTCCCCTTTTCAAATATCATAGCCTTTGTTTTAGATGTGTTTATTTTTAACCCCCACGTTGTGCAATAATTTTCTATATCGTTTAAAATGGATTGAATTGTTTCCGGCGACGTCGCAAAAATGGCCTGGTCATCAGCATACAGTAGTATAAATAATTTAAGTTCATTTACAGTAAAAATTCCTTCAAGATTTGCATTTATATTTTCGACTACATCGTTTACGAAGAGCATGAACAAAATAGGCGAACTCGGGTCACCTTGTTTCAGACCTATGTTCGAGTCGAAAAAGCCCGAAAGTTTAAAGTTATACCTTACACATGATCTCACAACGGTGTACATCGCTTTAATTGCTCTAACCATTTTACAACTGACATTTTCAGCCAAAAGTTTGTGCATTAGATAGGACCTATCAATTTTATCGAAAGCCTTCTCATAATCGATAAATATAGTGTACAATTTTTGACCAGCGTTAAGCGTCTTTGATATGACAGATTGAAGAATAAACATACAATCAATTATAGATTTCTGTTTTTGAAACCCAAATTGATATGGTACTAATTTATCATATTTTTTGCTCCAGTCTGTAATACGATTAAGTAATAACTGTGAATAGATTTTAGCTACAATATTTATCAAATTTATAGCACGATAATTTGATGCATCGTTAGCATCACCTTTTTTAAAAATGGGTGTTATTATTCCATCACCCCAAGATGTAGGGTACTCACCACTACTATAAATTCTGTTGTAAAGTGCAAGTAAAAACGGTGAAATATATTCATATGACGCCTTAAAAACCTCACCGGGCAAGTTATCAATTCCCGGGGTTTTATTATTATTTTGAGAGAAAACAGCTGACCGAATTTCACTTTCGGAAAAGTCCTTGTCCAAATCATGACATAATATATTTTGCGAGAAATCTGGTTGATCGTTATTATTTAAATGACTTTCACCAAACAGAGTCTTGAAATGATCATACAGATTGTCTGTAGTTAATGTGTCCGCCTGTGGAGATGTTTTCTTTACACTCTTTTTTATCTTTTTCCAAAATTTTCTAGGTTCCTTTTTGCTAAATCGTTAATTTTTTTTACCTTCCCTTACCCTGAAATTATATCTAGCCCTTCTCTTAATTTTATTATATCGTGTCCTACAACGCACGAAATTGCACCGAGATTCATTATCTCTACTTCTATTGAATAAATTTCGCGCTGTTTTAAATTCCCTTTTTGAATTATAACAACTTTGATCAAACCATTTTTTATTTTCTTTATAATTATGGTTTGGCGTTTTGTTTACAACGACCCTTCCAAAGATATCGAAAGTAGTTCTATACATTATATCGGTAAACTCGTCAACTACACGCTGGACTGACTCGCTCGACGCCTGATTGGCTAACCGATTTAAGTCGTCATGAATATTAATGAGCCGTGCGCGAAACTCGTCAAGTTTACTGTCGTCCCAGACTATTTTCGTGTAACTATCATCGTATTCTTGCGCAGTGGGCGTCTGCCTACAATCATATGATTTCCTATACAGGCTAAACAAAAGCGGATTATGATCGGAATGTTCATTTTGTTCTAAAATCTCAAAATTCGACAAAGTATCGAAGTCATTGAAATTAAGTAATAAATAATCAACAGTACTTTGACCATT